TCCTTCTTCACATACTTGTAACTCAACCCACAAAAAATACTATGTCGTTAAAGCAAAACAGTCCACTGTTGTAGAAAAGGGTCATATTTACTGTAAATCCAAAGAGGAACAAACAACTAAACAGGTGTAACATTTTTTCACAGAGCAAATTCACAGCAAGCTTTGAGGATTCAGTAAAATATGGATGAGCATGTATGTGATCAATAATACCTCTGAATCCTACAGGTCAGTCAAGAAGGGAGGCAAAGATGAAGTGTTAATAAACTGTAAAGGACGGGAGGTCCAGATGACTTAAGAGCAAAGAGGATAGATGAAGTGAGAGAGCTTGTACAGCGTATCGACAGCCACTAGCATCAGAAGCAGCGAGCAGTCGACACTTGCTCGGCCAATATGTGACCGCGTGGATTTCAATTGTGCCAGCTGCAAGGATAATCAATTGTGCTTTCACCCTCTGAGTCTGTGGCTCAATCTGAAGGAGCCCGATTCAACAACACTTCAGTATGTACGATGCCTTCAAACTAAAAAAAGAACAGTAAAAATAGACAAACACCAAAAGCACAAATGTTACAACTAGCATCCACATCTACACAGATTGTGTTTTGTGTTGACCGAAACCAAAAAGTTGCCTCTCATAGTGGTTTAATTTTGTTCATCCCATGAAAACACAACTTGGTTCAGAGTTGAAACCTCTCGTACACCACTTGTGTTTTGATCGAGTTGGAATCAAATTGCATGTAATTAGATGTGAGAAGGACCTGATTGTTTTTCTACATATTCATATGTACCATATTTTTCGCCCTATAAGTCACAGTTTTTTGCATAATTTGCATGCTCTGTGACTTAAACGCCAAAGCAACGCATTTATGGATTTTTTCCATATTTATAAACCAATTTTTGGCTGAGATATGACGGTTTTCATTCATTCTGACTGAAAATATTGAACACTACCATTTTCATCTGCTAGATGGCACCAGAGTAGTATGGCATGCCGTTGTGTTACGTAGTAGGTAAAAGTGGCTATTATTGACACAATCGGCTTGCTACAGCCTTCCACCTTCATCCAGCTCGCTTGGAGCAACAGTCAAATCCTCTTCATTTCGCTGAATGCTAAATGCTAAATGCTAAATGCAGCTGATTGGACCATCAATGTGCATTTATTAAGCAAAAGTTAAACTGAGACACACCTTTACTATAATTTCGAGCAAACAAATAATTGTTTTTAAGTGTTAATCTTGTTAAATTCTTGTTGAAATGCTCCCGTGCACGCCCCAGCGGTCGACGTTTGGCAGCCAATCGATTTTTGGCACAACACCATATTAAACAGCAGCCTGAACATGAGTCTGTTGTGAGCAGATGGGTATGAATTAAGGATGTCTGTCAACAGATCAGCTTAAGTGTTTCACATTGACATTTTAACTTCATAAATGTGATTAAAGGCGTTTATATTCAGGAGCAGTAGATTTTAAGGGTTACCAGTAGAGGTTCTGCGTGTCTGAGCAGCCTTTGGATGCTAAATCCAGGTTGAATGAACCGTGTGTAAAGTTCATGCAATGTCAGCCAGTGTTTTTCACACACTTAACTTCCACCCAGAGATGCATTGCAAACATATTTTATGCTTCCACTTCCTCCATGCAATTGACAACTTTATTACACACAAATCATTCCTGCAGGCTTTTGCACCCCCCAAAAAAACAAAACAAAAACAAAAAAACTATGGCAGGACTGACAGATAAACCATCTAACTGATGCAGACACGTGTTTTCTCGGTGTCTAACATGCTGCCAGGGCTACTTTAAATCAGCTGTTTAAGCTTTATTGATGGGATAAACTGAGCTAACTTCAGAGGCTTGAAGTGGTATGGTTCACCTCACAAACCTCTCATCAATAATGGCCGGTCTGCAGGGAGAAGAGTTATGGAGTCGATGTGCACGCTGACTGGTCAGGAGGTTAGCAGACCTGCAACAATCAATAAACCCTGGCCACTGGAGGCATGAGAAGGGAGGCTTCCATTACACAAGTATAAAAAAAACAACTACCCCCACTGCAATGTTTATATCATTTAAAGTATGTTCTTTTATAATTAATATTGACATTTGCATACAGTAGTTTGTTATTGCCCATTGGCAAAGGGAACACTGTTTACATGGACATAAGTAATCAGATTAAACGGCCATTCAGAATAAACATGCGTCATGTAAACGCCCCATTTTGGATTATTTTTTGTTTATTCAGCTCGATCCGAAAGAATTTGTAATCCAAATGAGAGTGGTGGTTTAGACAGATTCATAATCTGAACAGTGTACATATAAACATTTAATCTGATCATCTTATTGTGATTGTGGAAAACTGACTTGACTTAAAATGTGCAACCTGTTTACCTCACACATTTCCACCTGGTTAGATGTTAATATGTCGGGGAAGCAAAACTGGTCGGTGAGCGACACAACGTTTCTACTAGAAACTTTGAAAGAGCTCAAAATGATCTGTACTACCTGTAGCTCAATCAGGGAGTGCAGGAACGTCTCCACCGTCATTAAAACCTGGAGCGGGTCCATTTCAGGCGCTCAGTTTTGTTTACGTTCATCACGGAAGTAGAACTTCTTCTTCTGTGGTTTTTTAAGGAGAGTTTACCACTCTGCACATGTCAGTACTTCTATTCAAAATAAAACCCCGCTGCGTGCAAACGCTCGTCGTGAACGGATTGTGCCCATGTAAACAATACATCATTTGGATTATTTAATCTGAATACATTTCAATCCGGTCCAAGAATTTTGCACATGTAAACATTGTTAATGTCTTTACCTGCGTGTGTGCGATCGCTTATTTGTAGTTTTAGCAAAATATTTCATGAACCAGCAGATTGATTTTAACAGGACTTTCAAAAAGTAATCAATGGACATGCACCTACAACTGATTAACTTTTGGAGTCAACCCAATTAAAGATGGCTGCCACAGCTAACTGGCATTAGAAAAAAACAAAACAAATGATAATTCAGTCACTTTTACAAATGTTGCTCAAACATTGGTGTGGCAGCATCCGAGTCATTTACAACATACTAAGCGTGACATTTCATGATATTGTGTGAGATGTTTGACCAAACCAGCTTCAACTCTTCAACATAAAGCTTTTAGTCTAAGTCTCATTAATCTAAAACACTGGCATAAGAGGCGTGAGAGATGATATGCGTTTCTTCAAGGAATGCTTTTAATTTAAAATTAATTTGTCCACTCCCAGATTGAGTGCAACCTACATTAATACAAAACAATGAAAAGAACTGGTGAACTTTTCTTTTTCTACTCAGAGTTTACTGTGAAGATGAGTGTGTTTAGCTGGAATGGCATGAAGAGGTGAAGAATTGGTATTTATAAGCCAAATAAACTCTGGATGATTCTGGAAGACACGAGCATTCCTCCCAGCTGAGACAAAATGGAAAAATAAATCCTCCAGTTTGCCCCTTATTTACATTTCACTCTTTTTTAGTTTTTGTAGAATATGAAGTCATTTGGTTGTAATGCAGCTTCCTAACTGCCTGATGGCTGCCCTGCTGTGAGCCAAATTAAATCAACTGAGCTGAACCAAACCAGGCCAAATGCACAAACAGCAACGTGAAAAAAATCTAAAAAGGAAACTGGACAGTTTGATTTACAGCACGCTGACAGAAAAAAAAAAAGACTGATTTAGTCTCAGGAACCAAATACCACAAGATACTATTTATTTTAGATTGTTGTTTTTATACCAACTATTTGTTAAAGTAAAAAAAAGAAAAAAAACCTGCAGAAGTCCAGATCGCCTGTTCTGTGAAGACGTTCTCAGAGCAGAAAGCCAATCAATTATCAGCACCACAAACATGAGAGAGGTGTAAGGTTATACTGGACACGATCCATCGGAGAAACGGGACAGTTGTTTGCCTGCTCCGTGTGAGCCACGACACTGAAAGGGAAATTTGTCCCTTTCTTAACACCCTCAATACTGAGATAATAGTTCACAGGAAATGGAGATTTCTCAGGGGCACACTTCAGTTGAGCGTTATGGGCATTTAGCTAGCGCCTTTATGCATTTTCTCCCTTAAGACATATATTTTTTAGTTGCAACAATCATTGTAACGTCTGATTTGATGGTATTCTGGTGTATTACATTTAGTATCATGGCTAATCCTCCTTAGCAAGCCAAAACTGAGCTCTGTTTCAATTCATGTGGCAAGATGGAAAATAACTGTCATACTGAAACAAAAAAAATAATGGTAAGAACTACCAGTACATAAAATTCTTCATAGTGTGGTTAATTTCATATTGGAACATTTTAACTACAACTAACTTCAAATTAGGAGTCAGGAGGACATTTGAAATCTAGAGGTAGGAGTAAAAACAGACCATCTACTGCTGGAATCATTGGTAAACATCCATCACCCTTGTAGTATTGGTGTGTAAAGCATCTTCAGCATCGGTCATTATGACTGACTTTTTAGCCATTTCAACATGTTGAATGCTTTGGGTCAGTAGTGAAGTGAGAACAACAAACAAGTGCACGAGAACCGTGACAGCAACAATGACTGACTCAACATATTACACACAATCTGTTCTCAGATGAACACGATGTGGACTAGAGAACCTAAAGGCCACCTGATAACAAGCATGTGTAGACTGTTGGACATAGTTGTCCTGGTTTGTTCAAGAGCCATTCTTGGACCAAACAGGAGAAGACACATCAGCTCGTTTCTTTATGACCAACCCAAACATTCTCTTACTCAATCTCAGAGATTTTTGTTGCTATAAAAATACCGGTCTATGTGCAGCTTTTATGGCCTGTCCAAACCTAAGAAGCCTTCTTCAACAAACCCAATTATACCTTAGATTTCTGTATTTTGATGAGCCCCACTAGATGTACCTCATTACTGTAACCATACTGCAGTTTCTATAGTTGGAAAGTTTGCAGCAAGCTTCAGCCAAGTCTCTGAGGCTATCATCTTATCTTATAGACCATCAACATCTTATTGTCCTACTCACCCTCTCCAGGTCCTGTCGGAGGTGAGTGAAGAGTTTGAGACGTCTGTAGAGGACGTCCTGCTCCTGCTGGGCCAGGTTGTCCACTTCATCCCTCTTTAAAGTGACCAGAGGCTGATTGAAGTTGGTCTTCCTCTTCAACTTCCAGAACTGATATAAGAAGTCCACCTGCAAAAAAGAAAAAAAAAAAGATGATTAAATTACAGCAACTGATCAACTATTTTAAATTTACATTTACCAACCTGATGAAAACTAGTGTCTGATATTGTTGAAAAACAGCAATTTACTAATGAGGATGCACAAAGTCAGTCAGAACTGCATGTGTAACTATTGTGCACACCTGAATCTGAAGATAAAATCAAGCAAATTAGATTTTTTGTTGTTAAAAAACAGGTAAGATTGTCCTGAAAAAACTTTGAAAGGCTGAGGAGAAGTAACTACTTTTATAAACTGTCCAGTTTTAATGCGACTTGACCAAAACAATTTAAACATAACAAGAAAATGAAAGAAGGCGACTGTTCATCATTAGCTTAATGTCCTGTGCACATTTGGCTCTTGTTGTTTTCAGGCCATGTGATGGTCTCACAGTTCAAGTCGTCAGGAGGCCTCAGCTTCCTGTTCCTCAGTAAAGACTGCGAGCTCAAACGCTCTGCCGATCATCCATGAGCACACCGGATTTGAACACTTCTTGGTTCTTAGTGATGACAAGCGTTACTCTTCTGACCTCTGATCAAAGAGCTGTTTCGTCCATGCAACTTTTGAACCCTAATGTGTGTCTTGTAGATTTATTTGATATTTATGGCAGTGTACCTCTCAGTGTGATGGTAAAACTTTCTATACATTCATTCTTTCCAGTAATCTTACTCTACCTGTAAGAGGGGCAGCCCCAGGTTTTCAGCGACGTCACCGGGATCCACCAGTCGATAAAACTCATCCTCCAGCTCCTGGAGCTTCTGTTTTCTCTGGCTCGCCTTCTCTCTCTCCAGCTGGTCCCGCTCAGCTCGCTCTGATGCTGACACAGGAACCGGGTGCGATACGGGCCTCTGCTCCAAGTCGCTGCTGCCGTTTAGCTCGGTGGCCCCTTCGGATCTGGCCGCTCCGTGCGCTCCGATGGCGGTGGAAGTGTGGCTGCCGTTGCTCACCGTGTTGTTGATGCCGTTGCTGGCGGTGGAGCTGTGCTCCAGGCAGAAGGACTTGAAACGCACCTCGTCATTTTCGGCCAGGATGGTCTTCATCTCCAGGCCGTGGTCGAAGGCGCAGGTCACATGGAAGGCCACGATACAGGAGGGCATAGAGCACTGGGAGAAGAGGACAAAAGAGAAACATCAGAAGGATGAACACACACACATTTATTCACAACTGCCTGCGTTGAAGTGTCATTTTCTGTCCATTTACTCTGTCACCGAGGAGCCAATATAAAGGCAACAAAGCAGAAAGACAAGCCGAATCACAACAAACATGGATCTTCCATCACTGCTGACATCCTGGCAACCTGGGCTGTGTGTCAGTGTGTGTGTGTTTGTCTGTACTATCCATTACAGGTCACACGAAAAGGCGACCTCCTACTAAGTCTCCTCAGGTGCGATCATGCGGTCCTGCCTGTGTGAGGCCCTGTGGCTACGTGCCGTTACTGCGGCGTGCACGTGCACGCACGTTTGTAAGTGTGGGCGCAGGTCAGTGCTTGTACTTGTCAGAGGAGTTCAACATTCAGCAGGAGGGTTCTGCACTGTGTTTGTGTGTAAGCACGGTGACACAAACCTGCCTGTTCCTACACACTGCACCATCTGGGAGAAAGAGAACGCACTCCTGGGTAACATTTACAGAACGATCTGCTTTCTTCTTTAACATGGAAAACTTTAAAGTAAGACTGAAGCTCGGCCAACTCTCATCCTCCATCCACTTCTCTTACTTTGTAATATGTTTGATAATGTTTAAAATAAAACTATTTTTTATCTAAGACACAATTCAGTACCGAGAAATTTCTAAATGATTCCTAACAATCCTTAGAGAAATTACATAACCTGAAAGAATGTTGTTAGTCTTGTTTGTTTATATATATATATATATATATATATATATATATATATATAGTTAAATTTTGAGAATCTGGTTTAATTTGCAATGGAATTTTGTGGCCCAAGCAAATATAAAAGCATTTATTTATTTATTTATTGCTTTAATCTAGGTTGGATTGTTGAAATGTTTACATGTATTCGTGTAGTGTTTACCACTTTTTTTTTCTTTAACCATGCCTTTTTATGTGTTAATTCACATTTGTTCTCATATAAACAACTAAAATGAAAGAAAAAAATAATAAACCTTTCAATAACACAAACAATAACAATAAAAAATAAGTCTTCGGATGTAGTATTGCCTTCTAGAAACAGATTTAGCTTGGAATCAGCTTCAAAACTACTTAAGTCTTAAATAGTTTACTAAGCTGGTGGTGCCTTACAGTATTCAGTTATGAAAATTTTATGTGATTGAGCAGAAAAAAAATATTCCAACATCTTTTTAACATATGGGGCGACTGTGTGGTCAGATCAGTCGTCCTCCAATGCAAGAGTTGGGGGTTCGATTCCTCCATCAGTCACATGGCCAAGTGTCCCTGGGCAAAACACTGAACCCCTCATTGCCTCTGATGTGTGTCCCATCGGTGTATGAATGTGATAAATCACTGATTGTTCTTTGCATAGATCTGGTAGAGTGATGTATAAATGGGTAAATGAGAGGCGCTTTGAGTATGCTAGATAGAAAGGTTTTATACAAGTACAGTCCATTTACCACAGTGTTTCCCCTACCATAATACAAGCGTGGCGCTCCGTCAACAGAACCGTGCACAGACCCCCCCCCCCCCCCCCCCCCAACTTGGTGACACTGACATAACACTAAGCCTATACAACATTTGTAACTTTTAATGTTAAAAGTTACAAATGTTGTCTTTGGTGCCCTTTTGTTTTTCTTATACATTAGTGTATGCGAATGACAGGGATTAACTTAAAACACTTTGTAGAACGGTGTTTTATGAAGTTCTGTCCATTTCTTTGCATTAAATGACCGGCAGTTCCGCCACATTTAAAATTGCGGCGACGTTGACGTACGATTCAGCGCTCAATGGGGCATCTACGTATTTATGTCTGTGGGTGCGCTAGCTAAAAGGCTAGAGGCAGTCTCTTCCCTCATGCTGAATCCCACCCCCACTCGAAAGATGTCGGTACAAACAGTGCGCAGCTCAGATGTGTCTCTGTCCCCCCCACCCCAAAAAAAATCACAGATGAGATGAACGCCCCACCATGGCAAGTTATCTAGGGAAAAAACTGTACCGTATAAACAGATACTTTTGTACATTTTCAGTTTTTCTGTTCTTTCAGCTTCATGGAGCACAAGACATGAACAAGACCGACTTAGATATACATCACTGAGATGAGGTGAGAGGGTGAACGCTTTGACTTGAATAGTTTACAAAATATATATATATATATATTAATTACTTGTTGCCATGAAAAGTGGGAGATCCTGTAATTACCTGTGTTTTTTTTAGTCAGTTAGCAAGAAGTTCACAAACCACAGGACAGATTTTAATGAAACTCCCAGAAAGGATCAACATCAAATTTACATTTGGAGTCAATAAACTTGAGCAAACACCAAAATAGTATAATTTATTCAGTTTAACAGATATTGAGATAAAATCTGGTGTGGCAGTAGCTGAGAGTCATCTCCAACACATACTCCGAGCACCAACAGGTCGCGCATGTTTGTTTAATATTTTGGCATGGAGGGCGGCAGGCGATATGCATCCATCCAAGGAATCCTAGTTTCATGTGACCATTTGTTTGAAGTAAATAGGTGAGTAAACTGTCAGTGATGGAGGAGATCTGATCCAATAATGTGTTTTGTAAAGCTGCATCAAGTTTAAAAGTTAAACCAGAACAAAACATCTACACTTTAGATCCATTGTTATTCCTAAGTAAATGTCAGATAGAGCCGCTGCAGCTGCTCCCACTTATTTGGTGTCAAAACGGCGAAAGGTTGAAGCCAGCATGGAGCCGGTGAGATGTGTTGTTTAGTGTGAGCCACGTCACTGCAAAGCACACTCATCTGGCCGTCTCCAGTGCACCTGCTCGTCTCCGGCAGGCGTTCATTAATTCATTAGGTTTTAGCCGTGCCCACGACGCACGGAGGACAACAACATGTTTGCCTTACAGCAGGAGTTTTAAAACATTCATGACTCGCCGTGCCCGAGAAAAACATCATTTATGTTTACTTTCTATTTTTAAGCTTCTATTGGTGGATTTCCTGTAATCTGCAGTAAACAAACTGCAGAGGTTCCTCTTCTTACTGTGAGGTTTTATTCCTTTTCTTCCAGATTTGGCCGACCCCGTTATTTCATTGTCCTCACAAAAATAATCTCTTCACTGCCCTTTATGACATAGTAACAGAAGTTTGTTTTGTAAGCAATTCACATTTTGATCATTCTGAACGGTTTACTGTATAATTTACAGTTACAGACCCCCCCCCCCCCCCCCCCCCCCGGGGGCAAAAAATAAACCTGCTATGGCAACTGCCCCCAAAAGAACTGATTATTAAATGTTTACAACTGTATCTTGTTTCTAAAAACCTCCTATATTCCATAAATATTTAATAATGTTTGTCTCTGAGAATCTAAGGTTTACAACAGTTCCTCAGTTTTTGACTATAATACATATTTTTTTATTTAACCTTTATTTTTCCAGGATAAAAAAAACCATTGAGATTAAAAACCTCTTTTTCAAGGGAGTCCTAGCCAAGAGGCAGCAACAAATACAACACAAAAAATTACACAGTTAAAAGAAAAATGTCAAGCTATAAAAAAGAGGCACTATAAAACAAGCTAGCTATGCCTCAATAACTTTTAGTTTGGATGTAAAAGCACTGAATGAGATGAATTCAGTCAATCTCTGAGTTTCTTGTAACAAGTTCCAAGAAGAGGGAGCAGCATGAACGAAAGCCTTCTAACCCAATTCAGTCTGAGCAAAAGGGACAGAAAGAAGCAGCAAATCGTGATGGCGAAAAGTACAAGAGTCAACCCAACATTTTTCAGTCAGGTCATCTGGACAGTTTCTTTTTTTGTGCTGAAACGTTTCGCCTTCGATCCGGGAGGCTTCATCAGTCAAAAAAACACACAACAAAACTGATTCTCCCCCCAACAGCTTACTCCAAAGTGGAACAACCAGTTTGACATGACTGTCAACAAGGAAGAGGGCCGGCAATGGAGTAGGGGGTGTACCAAAGAGACCATATTATCACAAGTAAAACTGGTTTGTTCCACTTTGGAGTAAGCTGTTGGGGGAAGAATCAGTTTTGTTGTGTGTTTCCTTGACTGATGAAGCCTTCTGGATCAAAGGCGAAACATTTCAGCACAAAAAAAGAAACTGTCCAGATGACCTGACTGAAAAATGTTGGGTTGTATACCTGGATTATTGAGCATGGACTTTGTTGTTTACAAGAGTCAACAGTTCTTACTGCAATTGCAGTACAAATATAGGCTGGCAGGAGTCCAAGCAACGCCTTGTAAATAAAAGTTAACCAATGGGAGTTCCTTTGGGCAGCCAGACCAGGCCATCCCGCTCGTGAGTATAAATCACAATGGTGTGTTGACATTTTGCAGGGAGGAAGTAATCATATACAAAAGATCTCCATAGTCCAAAAGTTGCAGAGACAAGCCGCTTTTTTGCAATATATGAAAAACACAACTTGTTTAGAAAATAAAAGTCCAGCTTTAATTTTAGCCTTATCACAAAAACTTTCCACATGGGGTTTGAAAGTGAGTGAATCATCAATCAAAATGTCCAAATATTTATATGTGTGAACCAACTCTTTTTCATATCCATTGCAAGAGAACAGAGGGGATCTTTTGTGGACCTCTGGATCTGGAAAAGTACATCAATTTAGTTTAATCTGTATTGAGGACAAGTTTTAAATTTAATAAAGAGCATTGGATAGCAGCAAAGTCTTTTTGTAATAGTTCAATAGCCTGAGTAGGAGTGGATCCAGTGCAATAAATAGCTGTGTCGTCTGCAAAAAAAGTGCAAATTAGCATCAGACACATTCTGTCTCGATTCATTTATATAAATTATGAATAGAAGAGGACCTAATATTGATCCCTGCGGTACCCCCTTATGAACTGTTTTTTTTTAATATTTTTTTTTATCAAACTTGAGATAAGAATCCATCTGTAACGTTACTTTCCTAACCTCCAGGGTTTTTGTGTTATTTCTGTAATTAGCCATTTTCCCCTCACCCTGTTCAACTGTGTGACAGTATTCTCCACACACTTTCAGCTTGTTACACGTTTGCCTTAAAGCAGAATTACATTTACATTTCTTTAAATACTCACACCAGTGAGGATGCATTTTATTGCTGCAACTATTTAAAATTAAAATATGATATTTTGTGTGCCTTTAACCACTAACATGTAACAAGTGTATAATGTTTGAACAGTTTTATGTCTGCATGGCGCAGGTCTGTAGTCTAAAAACTAACCCCAGGATATGTGACCGACGTCTAAAAATTACTTGACTGAATCATTTAGAGATGTCATGATTTTAGTTTTAGAGACAATTCTGTTTGCGTTCAACTGATGTTCTCTACCTTAAGGCTAGTTGGTGATGCTTAAAATTGCAGCTTTTTATTTTTTTGCAGAAAAAAACTTTAAAGCTGTTAATTATCGGAGCAGATAACTGACGTTTAGAAACTCACTTTAAGCTTTTCTAAATAAAACACGATGAACTGGTCAATCTCTTCAGTGTAACATACAGATTAAGGGTCTCTTGTAATATGCAACACTTGAAGGATTACCGATTGATAAAGGGTTGTTAAATACAAATGTTTTATTTTGTACACTCAGCAGTGATTAACTACACATAAGCAGCGACACAATAAAATGCCATTAAGCTCTAAATATCAGAACAGAGGAGCTGACCGTTAAAATGGTCCAGGACGGAAGACCTGAACTCTCATACACTGACAATATCTGATCCAACCAACAAAAACAAAAAATATATTTACAAAGATTATGATTTTTCACACAATTTAAACTGTAAGCTTCTGTTCAATATGCACTTTTTATTTCCCTTTCACTATTTGAGATTAGTAGGACCACACAGACAAAACAATAAGTAGTTCACAAATTAAACTAAAGAAAGCATCTCTAAAAGGGGGTTTCTACTCATACAAATTCCAAACTAAAATGTTCAGATAGTCTTAATTTTTATATCAAAGTGTCTGTAAATTTACTATAATTTGTAGAGTTTAAAAAGTGTTGCAGCTTTATGATCTGCAAGCTTATGTAAAATTACTACCATCTGTCTCCTAGAGTAGCAGGTGGTCATGTGTCTGTGGGTTCGTGCAACTGTTTGTTAGCAAAATAATCCAAGAACTACTGCAAGAGTTTTAATGAACCTTAAAAAAAGTCGTCATTTGATGCATTTGAGTCTAGTCGAAAATGTCTCCACTGTAGTTAGTTTTACAGAAACCTAAACTAAAACTCGGTGCAGCAGCGGCTGAGAGTCGTCTTCATCACAAATGATAACAGACGTCTCTTCTTGAAGACTAGACTTTTGAAAATAGTTCATCTGGCGCAGAAAAGTTCTAGACCTGATGTGTGTTTTGTACTCCACTTGTTCACTTTTCTCACTTTTCTTTAGGAACACTAAAAAAAACACATAGGTCACGCTACAAGACCAGACCCGGTCCTGTCTCGGGTGTCCCTCGCCTCTCACACAGTGACTGCTGGATATGGGCACTAGAGACTCCCATGACTTGAAAAGGAAGAAGAAAGATGGATGGATGGATAAAAGATTAAAGAACACAAACACAGTTTGTAAACTTGAGAGCCTTTTCGAGTGAGCTGTGCTAGAACTGTTGAAATTAATTTTATTTTGATATCAAAATGACTTCCTGCCTTTTTGTTTTTCCACATAATTATACTTCTTTGTACTTCACACCATTTTATATAGCTGTAAAGAATATAAATTGACAATCGTCTGTAATCGGCTACTTTAAAAGCATAAAAATGACTTTAGGCAACACTTCTACATTCGGATCAGTGAGTTGATGAGCATAACACAGATTGGCTGGTTTTATCCCGTCTTAAAAAGCAGGCAGCAGTAAGAACACGCTCTGCTTGCGCCGCCGTGCAGCATCTGCATCTTTACCTCGAGTGCGCAGCTGATCAGCGAGTGTTTGTCGAGCCGCGCGCCTCCAGCTATGGAAACATGAGAGTGAGACGCCCTCCCTATGGGCAGCTCTGGCTCAAAGGCTCACAGTTAATCTACAGCATCAATAATGTCAAAGTAAACGCTCCCAAGGCTGCACAAACAAGCACTTTCATGTACTCTGCATCCGTGTATACACACTACAAATACTCACACACCAGCTCACCTTAAAGACACTTTTATGAGTAAATAGCACGCAGGTTAACAGCTGTGAAGTGGGCTGGCAAGTGTGCCAGAAGGGTTCAGTTTGTACTTTAAAGAGGAGCTGGTTTCTGATCCAACCCGAGACAGAAACGGTTGGGATTTGTGAGGAGCATGTTTGTAGTTTTTTTTTGGTGCACAGAAAAACTACATTTATGAGTTTCTGTTTACTTGTTTTAGTAACTGTTGACTCTGTATTGCATGTAAATATGAGCATGGATTATTTTCTGTCTTTTTATTGTCACGTCATAATAATTATGCATGGATGGGGAAAAAAAACATGTTTGAAAACATGGCTGGATGAACATTTTCCTTTGCCTCCAAAGTCCAACATTAAAACAGCCGCGTTATTGGACTTTAAAATTCAGATCATCGAAACAAATCTAATTTTTTTTGTACAATATCTAAAGTATTTGTTAGAAAACTTGACAGTTAGCCTTCTGCTACTTTTCACTATTCTTTTGCTACATTTAGTTATTTAATACTTTTGGCTTTCAGCTAGGCTTATGTTACTTGGAGCTTTTAGTCCAACCGTTGTGACATTTAGTTAATTATTTGATATGTTTGGCCTTCAGCTGGCCTGTGCTACTAGTAGTCTTTAGCTACTTGTAGTCTTTAGCCTGTTGCTACTTGTCATCTTCAGCTGGCCTTTAGCTACTTGTAGCTTTCAGATAGCCTTTTAGCTCACTACTTGTAGCTTTTAGCTAACATTTAGCTTTTGATACTTTGAGATTTCACTCAACATTTTGTTATTACGATGTTTTAGGTAATCTAATTCTACTTTTAGTAAGTTGACACTTTCAGCTACTTTTAGGTTTTAGCTATCTTTTGTTTCTTTTTTTGATACAATAGCTAGCCTTTTGGTCCCTTTAGCTTCTAGCTAGCCCGTTGATTTCCTGGGTTAAACAAGGTTTCTCTTTCAGGATTGACACAGTACCAAACATTTTACTCAGTCTAATTTAGGTTGTTTTTGCAGAGATGGAGCAGTGAAGAGGAACAAACTGAAGACAGCGCATGTTACTCCAAAAGGAACAAACATCATACATGTGTTGCTGTTTTTTTTTTTTTTTTTTTTTTTTAATAAATCCAGAGAAGTGAAAACAAATAAACTGGAAATGACCATTCTTCTTTTACAGAAGGTAATTGTGTCAAAAACAAGATGTAGACAGTTGAGCAAAAATAACCAAACATTAAGTTAAATTTACAGCTGTTTCAGTCCCGACATGTAATAAAAGTAATTAAACTTATTGTGACATGTGTCAGTTAAAAAAACCCGTTCAGGTGCACGTTGAACCCACCTGGATGCATGTTCCTGTGAGTTCTCGACACAGGGTGCAGGACAGAGCCCAGCGGCTGGCAGGGATGTGGGACACCTTGGTAATGGGCTCCATCTTTTCTGGACAACCTATGCTCACCTAGAGACCAAACAACAAAAACATTCAATGAAAAAGCATCACGTGTAAGAAGTGAACAGATCGATCACTGTAGCTGGGATTTAACTACTTAAAGAAAAACAAGTTTAAAATGACCATGAACTTTTAAAATAACACTATTTGCAATTGCCTGTAAAATCTGAAATGTCACATTTGGAGTACTTGTTAGAGAAGACTCTCAGCTACTACCACGCCAGGTTTTAGCTTAATATTGGTAACATTTAATAAATTAGTCATTTTTGTTTTGGTTTAAAGTCAGTCAGCTGCGATTTTTTATTTTCTTTAGGTAGCAGGTGATAATGACGACACTCTTATTTTGTTTCTTTGAACCATAACTGGTCATCATTTCAGAGCCAAGAGCTTCAGATTTGAGCAATAAAAATAAAGTGTCCTCGGAGCTGAAGAGGAGACACGTGTTCCTCAGAAAAACCTTTACAGTAAAACCAGAGAGACCCTCTTTCTCCCGGCGGATCTCTGAGCAGCTTTGGTCCTGGACCTTCATTCACTGAACAGCTAAAAAGTCACTGGCTGGTGCCAGCTGCCCGGGCACAACAGAGCTGAGAGCACTTCTCACCAAAGTGCCGTTTCTTCCTCTACATCCGATTTCTTCCCTAAAATCATTCCACTTCTCTCCTTTTCATTTCCTCTCATATCGGAGGCAGGGTCCTCCTCGTCCTCCACGCCTGCATTAACCAGCTGAGGACTGATTTCCGTAGGTCACCCTCCCTCCTCTTTATCCACTTGTCATTCTGGAGGAGTATCTTTTCTACTTCTCATCTGCTTAAAGAAGATCTTTAGTTTCTGAACAGACTGATAAAATCTTTTGTACAAAACGCTCCTGTTAAAGGCAGAAAAACATTCCGGTTCAGTGATGGTGTGCTTAATTACTACGGTGGTTCTAAGTCCTGTTCCCTCTTTTAGGCTTTGTTCGTCACAGCTCAGATCAATTAAATCTCTCTCATGTGTGTGTGTGTGTGTGTGTGTGTGTGTGAGCGTGCACATGCAGGCCTTTAACACACTCATTTGCTGATTTTTTTCCAGCTCCAGTTACTTCCCATTTTAAAGCTGATGGATGGAAAACTGATAAATTCTGAAATCGCTTCACCAGAAATGGGAGGATATCAAAGTGTTGAATACAATCGTGTTTTTAAAAAAGGGACTCTGCGTGTTTGAGTGTTTCGTTGCCATTTATAGACAGAGTTCTCAATGGGGGAGAAAAGCAGAGCGCGAAAAACCAAACAGTAAAAAAACAACTACACTATCAGCTCAGAGAGAGCTTCATTTAAAGGCTGGGCCACGTGTTTTTACACTGACTCACATTTTAAGTCTCCTTTCATAAGAAATTCATTAAATACTGGACTCATAATGAATTTCATTAATGAATTTAACAAAAACTGTGTTATTTAGCAAAATGTCTAATTAAGGACCAGACAGATTTGGTAAAAACTCTCAGTGAGTAATCATTTGATGTACATCAATAACTGACTAACAATTGGAGAAAATTAATATTAAGATGACAGCCACAGCTATTATTTCGAAGTAAACCCAAGAGTGGCTCCAATGTAAGTACCGTATTTTCCAGCCAATAAGTCGCACATTTTTGCCTAATTTGCATACCCTGCAATTTATACACCGGAGCAACTTATTTGTTTTTTTTCCCCATATTTATAAAACGATTTTTGGCTGAGATATGACCGTTTTCATTCATTCTGACATTGAAAATATTGAACACTATCATTTTCAGCCGCTAGATGGCACTCGTGTAGAATGGCATGCCGTTGTGTCTGTAAAAGTTCTACTGAGTCACACCTTGCAAACAAATAATTTCAACCAGTTTGACACAACTGTCAACAAGAAAGAGGGCCGGCAATGCAGGAGGGGCGTGCCAAAGAGACCATTTTAGCACCTAGATAACTGGTTTGTTCCACTTTGGAGTAAGCTGTTGGGGGAAGACTCAGTTTCGTGTTGTGTGTTTCCTTGACTGATGAAGCCTTCCGGATCAAAGGTGTAATGTTTCAGCACAAAAAAAGAAACTGTCCAGATGACCTGACTGAAAATTCTGGATTGTATACCTGGATTATTGAGCATGGACTTTGTTGCAAAAAAAAAAATCATTTTATGTGCTTATCTTGTTAACTTTCTAAGAAATGCGCAGTTCCTCCTTCCTAATTTCCTCCTACGTGCTCCCGGAGCACCGAAGCAGCAAATACTTTTGAAATGCAGCTGATTTGACCATCAAAGTGCATTTATTTAAACTGAAACACACCTTTACTATAATTTAGAGCAAAAAAAACTATTGTTTTTAAGTGTTAATCTTGTTAAATTCTTGTTAAAATCCTCCCATGCACGCTCCCGCGGCCACCATTTGGTAGCCAATCGATTTTTGACAACACCGGCCAACATTTCCGGGTTGTCAGTGGCAGTGGTGATGCGTAACAAATGCGATGCATTAGCGGTGACGCATAATAAAAGTAACTCCCCCCCCCACTTTATTAGACATATTTGGACTGATGCGACTGATACGACTGATACGGCGGTGCGACGTGTACAGCGGAAAATATGGTAGTAAAAAAAAAAACGAGATAAAGTTTGGTGTGGTGGTAGCTGAGTCTTCCACAGCGAATGTTTGGAGTGCCAACAGGCTGTGTGAAGTCTTCGTTTGAAACTTTGGCAGCAAGGCAGCGGGTGATATTCTTTCCTTCAAAGAATGCCACTTTATTCACATATTGCATATCTGAAGCCTTTATCCTGAACCAAATCAATTAAACGAACTTAAACTCTTTTCTTAAACTAATAGTCCATCCAAGTGAAACCCTTGAACAGCTAATGAAGCTGTGCAATAAATAATCTAATGTTCAAAAAACGGTCCTTCCAAAGAAAGATTTGCACAGATGCATCGTGTGGTCCTCACTAAATGAGACAGAGTAGCATCAGAAAATGTGTGGCAGGGAGTATCCCTGTGGATCATTCAGATATTAACACCTCTTTAGCTCAGGCACAAACACAAATTCACATACATGCAAATTATTTTCCCCTCCCTCCACGGTTGGAAGAGAAAACAAAAGCAAACGGAGCAGCGAAAACAATTAGTCCAATCAAGGGTGACAGAAGGCAATTAGAAGCAAAAGGTTCAGGGAGCCAAAAGCTGCTCCGTTACTGAGAAATGTGCCAGTGGAGGAGCGGTGCTGAATAGACCGAAGACACACAACTCACTGCGGTAACATCTTTAAAGGTGTGCAAGGCATAAAGCAGGTCTGAAAACAGCTGCTCCATTTGGAGCTTTCAGATGTCGCCAAAAGATACCATCAAGACACAAGAAGTGAAAATGAGCGTCTGCACTCTTGACAAACTCCTGAATCGTTTTACACTAAAGGCACATTCTGCAGAATGAAGGAGCTACATCGCTGAAACAAAGCGTCCACTGTTACCATAGACTCGGTAGAAACAAGTGACAGGTGCGATTCGTTCTTTCTTTTTTCAAAACGTGAACCGAAAGAGTCAAGAGATGCGGTTATCGTCCATTCTCACCAAACTGAAGTCAAATAACGTCCTCGATAATAAACTAAATGAAAAGGTGCAATCTGTTAACACATAAATTCTAAAACAAAGCATGAAGACATTAATCTTGTCCTGATGGAGATTTTCTGTGTAAATTAAATCAAAATGCCAGCAATGAAGGAGGTAAATCATGTTGTAACCTTTGAATTAACAGCACATAAATCCACATGTCTGTTTTTTTACTGGGATGTAAAGATTTGCCATAAAACAGTACGATCTTTTGGCCACAGAGGTTTTTTACAGTAATATAAAAGAGTCACAAGAAAAAGGAGAGGGCAAAAAGAGATGTCTTACAAAATTACAAAATATTTGTAATCCAAGGGTGATTCAGGTATGACCGGCAGTTTTAACTACAGTAGTCTCGCGCTACTTCACGGTTTGTTTTTCGCGAACTCGCTCTATCGCGGTTTTTCGAAATAAGATTGGACATGACCCACAATTGGTTGATTGATGGATGAGCCGCACGGTTGGCATTTTTATTTTAAATAAATTATTTAAAATTATTTAGCACCTGCTGCACATTTGTGCAGTCCACAGCTGCAGAAAAAGCTTCCTCCTGCAGCGTGTCATATCTTTGCTCTGAAGCAGAGAAGTGGGTGTGGCCAAGAGCAAGGCGGGGAGCTGAAATCACAACAGTCTGTGCTCTTTTAGAGCATTTAGAGTTTAGAAACATGGCTTAGAACATTACAAGAGTGTGGGAAGGGTTTAAAACTATATATATATATATATTTAAATACTAAAATAAACTACTACTTACTACTTGTACTACTATTCCTACTTCACAGTTTTTCACTTATTGCGGGGCTTCAGGATACAGATCCCCTGTGACAATCGAGAGAATACTGTATTCAGTCTAGTTGCAATATCCAAAAAAGTTCAATCTGGTCCTCTGGACATTCAAAAAAAATAAAAATAAACAAAAAACAATTTTTTTTTTTTTTTTTAATGTCCAGAGGACCAGATTGAACTTTTTTGGATTTTTCTACCTGGATTATTGCGCATGCATCAGGACTAGTTACAATAGTTGAATTCAAGGAATTGATGCAACTGTGAAAAATGTTTTTAATACATAAAATTTACTACTTACCCCCTTCAAAAATTAAAGTAATAATAATAAAGTACTACTCAGAGCATCAGAGCTCTTGTAGTTTATTTTCAAAGGATTATAAAGCGTAAACTATGGCCATGGGTCAACTCTCTTTATAGTCAGAATACGGGCATTCTATGTTGAATACGCAAAGAAAAATGTAATTATTACCGGACAAATTGGAAAATAAAAAATTGCCCTAAAGTGGGTAATGATTTAACAGTCTAACACATATAACTGTAAAATTCATGTTGCATCCTCAAAAATATTGTTAGTTGCAATATTTATTTAATCTGACATTTGTAGAAAGAAAGAAAAACGATTGTTGGTGATATGGTTCACTTTTCAGTTTTGAGAAGAAAAACAGAAAAAAAATGTTAACGAACTAACAGTTTAACTTTTTACCTACAAATACATTTGTCTAATGATTTGAAATAAATAATTTGAAGTGACCTGGGTGTTGTATTGGCGACAATCCAAGTTGTTTTTTGTGCCGTGAACAATTTATTATGAATACAGACATTAAAATATGATAAATTTGTATGCTGCCATTTATATGTTTTTATATAAAGAAATCAAAATGAGCATGTCAGAACTTTAAAAATGTAGAAGCTGGAATAAGTCTTTAAAGAAGTAATCAGTGCATCTTTACTTCTTAACAGTCAGCTCTGGGGTCTTCCCCTCAGGTCTCACCTCAGGGATCCATAAGGCACAGCTGACGTGGACCCACTTGGTTCCACTGCGGGTGGGCTTCAGGGCCCCACCCCTTTTGGGACACAGCAGACATTTTGGCTGAACTCCCAGCGCGCAGGTCCGACAGAGCCAGTTCCCCTGTGGCACTTTCAGGATGCCGTAACAAGCCTGTGAGAGAGGAAAGAACCACCCGCAAAGTTAGCCACTGTTTAAAAAATAAGAAATATTTCATACTGAGAACACTTCAACATCTTTAATATAAATGTGTGGGTAAAATTTGGCTAAAGCAGGAATATATGAAAATATATATAGATATATATATCAAAAAGGTTTAAAGAGACAAAAAGTTGGTGGTGAACTTGCTAAATAACTTGTGCGGATAATGTTTCATGTTTTCTCGTCGTCTGTAAAGGAGTGGACTGAAGTTGGAGCAAACTGCATCACAGATTAAAAACAGAAGTAAAACGAATATTAGAAGATGCTAATCCAGCGCTGTGAGGGTGCACATGAGCCTGTTTCAGAGGCAACATGACAAAAAAAAATAATCTTGATTTGATAAAATATTTACTTTAATTATTAAAAAAAACAACGAAGATGTGTTTTCTTGTTTAAAGAACAGCAGCTCTTATTTTTGTAATGGTGAAATAAGCTCGTTGTTTTTTTGCAAAGTGCATAAGTGAAACGCGCAAACTGCAGACGAGCTGGTCCTTCAGTTGTGGTTTGAAGGGAAGCGCGTTGTTCTACGAACACAAAAATCAAAAATTGGCTTTAATTCTTCAAAAATACAGTTCTTGATCAAATGTATGTGCATGTATATATATCAATATTAATTGCTGGAGGTATCGACGGTATAGACTTTTTTTCTTCTTCATCTTCAACTACTTATCCATAGTTGGGTCACAGAGGCAACAGATCCAGGAGAGAAACCCAGACGTCCCTCTCCCCAGCGATACTTTCTAGTTCACCCTGGGTCAGAGAAGATACACAATCCCTCCAGCAACTTCTAGGTCTTCCCTGTGGCCTCTTACCAGTGGGACGTGCCCTGAAAACCTCTAAGGAGGCATCCTAATCAGATGCTCGAACCACCTCAAATTACTCCTTTCGACACGGAGGAGCAGCGGCTCTACTTTGAGCTCCCTCCGGATGACGGAGCTCCTCACCCTGTTTCTAAGGCTGAACCCGTCCACCCTACGAAGGAAGCTCATTTCTGTCGCTTGTATCCAGGATCTCGTTTTTTTGGTCATGATCCAAACCTCATCTCATAGGTGAGGGTTGACGCAAAGACAGATCAGTAAATCGGAGTTTTGTCTTTTGACTCAGCTCTCTCTTCACCACGACTGACCAAAGCAATGCCCTCATTACTGAGGACATGGCTCAATCCATCTCCCACTCAATCCTACCACTCGTGAACAAGACGCCCAAATACGTGAACTCCTCCACCTGAGCCAAAGTGTCCCCCTCCCAAATAAGTTTGTTTCTAATAAAAGTTAATTTACAAAAAGTCAAGATCAACTATCACTTGTTTGTTTAAAGCAGAAATTTAAAAAAGATGCCAAAAAAAGAGCCCAAGGCTATCAGGCTAATTTTCTTACAAGAACTAAAAGTTCAAACACAATAAGAATAAAAAAAAACCTGACAGAAAAACTGATTTGTTTTTTTTTACTCTGACAAATTGCTGTCAAAGTGAACAGAAACAAATATTCTTTTTTATTGAAAACAACTAATAAATGCACTTGTGGATGAAAGAAATTTACTAATAAAACAAATAGTAAAGGCATCTGAATTTCTAAAGCACATTTATATCTCAATACTTTGGGTTCTTTCAGACATTTTTTCCCTTCTGTGACATTTGGAATAACTCTAGAAATCATAAAACTGGGAAGATAGTAAAGAAGCTCTGTGAGTTTTATACATTTATTGCTACTTTTTTTGTTTATTTATCCTGAAAGCCCATCCTTACAACAAATGTTTGTTTCCGTTTGAAAAATACCAATATTAAAACTTTCGACAACAGAATTTGCTTCCTGATGCTTCGGGCTCTGAGCATTTGTTTCCACACGTCTGATTTTTTTTTTTTGTTGACAACCTGAGATGACATTTGTCAGAAGATGATTTCAATCCCGTGTCGTAGCAGCAGGTCAGCAGTGCTCGTCTGATCACACTGAGGGTGTGTCGGTGCCCACGGGGCAGATACAATTAACACTTTGTCACAAATAAACACAGAAAAGCCGGGCCTCGTCGCAGGCTCTATATGTGAAACAGCCACGGCGTATTCATGAATGAGTCAGCTGGAAAAACAGCTAACCCTCGTTTCTGAACGACCTCAATTTAGAAGGTTGCGTTGGTCCTTTCAGCCTCGTTTGGATCAGCAGACAGGAATGATTTCTGGAGTTGCTGACCTGATGAACGCAGACGTTGCACTTGTCACAGAAGACCATCTCGTTGCCGTCCTCTCCCTCGGGCGAGCGGCAGACGTCACACACCACGTCCTCGTCGTACTCAATGCCCAGGCCTTCCTCCGTCTCGATGGCCTGCTGCATCTTTTCTTCACACACACTCTCCAGCTCCACCAGAACACACTCCATCGTCAGCTCGTCCAACTCGGGTAAGGCTGGTGGCGAGTAAACAAAGTACAAGTTGAGTTTTTATCAGGAGGCAGAAACAAATAATTGAATTCCTGAAAATTAACGAAGGATGTATCAGCACCTTAAACCAGAATGGCTCCCTAAAAAATTATTTTGGGCCATTTAAAAGCGGATTCATGCTCAACATGAGTGGCTTGAATTACTACTTAGCCTCAACTCCACTACAGGTGCATCTAAACAAATTAGAATATCCTGAAAAAGTTCTACATTCTTTTTGTGAATCACTTCAGAAAGTTAAACTCATAAATTGTATAGATTCATTACACAAAGTGAAATACATCAAGACTTTATATCTTGTAATCTTGATGATTATGGCTTACAGATACTGATAAACCAAAACACAGCGTCTTGGAGAATTAGAATATTATGATAAAGTTTCATACTGGAAACTCATGCACACTATGCACAGACGAATCCTGTGATGAAGAGAGCAGGGACCACAGTCTCAAAGGACCATTAGTAACACTACGGCGTCATGGTTTAAGATCCTGCAGCACACACAAGGTCCCCCTGCTCACGCCAGCACATGTCCAGGCCCGTTTGAAGTTCACCAATGACCATCTTGATGATTCGGAGGAGGCATGGGAGAAGGTAATGTGGTCAGATGACAACAAAATAGAGCTTTTTGGTATCAACTCCACTCGCCGTGTTTGGGGGAAGAAGAAGGACGAGTACAACCCCAAGAAAACCGTCTCAACCGTGAAGCATGGGGGTGGAAACATCACAAGGGTGCTTTCTGCAAAAGCAACAAGATGACTGCATCATACTGAAGGGAAGATGGATGGGGTCAAGTATTGTGAGATTGTGGTCAATGACCTCCTTCCCACAGTAAGAGCATTGAAGATGGGTCATGGCTGAGTCTTCCACCATGACAATGACCTGAAACACATAGCCAAGGAGTGGCTTTGTAAGAAGCATTTCAAGGTTCTGGACTGGCCTAGCCAGTCTCCAGACCTGAATCCAATAGAAAATCTTTGGAGGGAGCTGAAACTCAATGTTGCCCAGCGACAGCCATGAAACCTGAAAGATCTGGAAAAGATCTGTAGGGAGGAGTGGGCCAAAATCCTGCTGCAGTGTGTGGAAACCTGGTCAAGAACTCCAGGAAATGCCTGACCTCTGTAACTGCAAACAAAGGTTTCTGTACCATTCATTCATTCAACCTTTATTTATACAGACTAATTACATTGAGCCTCGGAGACTCATTTGCAAGCAAGACCTGTTTTAGACAGACAAACAGACAAAAGAATAGAAAAAAGAAAACACGAAGGGAGAGGAGGTAAAAAAAACCCAAAGGTATCTCGCACTATGTCCTGGCTGGAGCACAGTGTGAAAAATGGATTTTAAAAATACCTCACACATAAACAGCACATAATGACATCATGATACATTTATGAGAAGGCGGCCGACAGAGACGGGGAGTTGTCTGTAAGCGCTGCCAGAAAGTTCCATAGTCCTGATAAGAGATGGTACAATGTCTATTAGCAGGCTCAGCTCTGATACAGGTCCACAGGTGTCCTCGGGGAGTGGGTGGGCGGGTTGTCCGTGAAAACTGCCAGAAAGTTACAGTCCTGATAAGAGATGGCACAGTGTCTATCAGCCGGCTCTGATACAGTTCCACAGAGGTGCAAAGAGAGGATCTGAGAAAGATTCACAGGACAAGAGCAAAAAGCAGGACGGAGGCAGGAGCTGGAGGAACAGTGTCCGTCTTCGTCGAGAGCAAGCAGGAAGTATCATAAGTTAAGTTCAAAGTCCAAATATTAAGTTCTGTTTTTCTATTGTATCAAATACTTATTTCATGCAATAAAAAGCAAATGAATGAAATTGAAAATAAATCATACAATGTGAGTTTATAGATTTTTTTTCTTAGATTCTGTCTCTCACGTTTGAAGTGTACCTACTAAAATTACAGACCTCTCTATTCGTTGTAGGTGGGAAAACTTACAAAATTGGCAGCGTATCAAATACTTATTTTCCCCACTGTATAGACAGGGGTGTGCCTTTCCAAATCAAGTCCAATCAACTGAATTACCACAGGTGGACTCCATTTAAGTTGTAGAAACATCTCAAGGATGATCAGTAGAAACGGTCTGCATATGAGCTCAGTTTTGAGCTTCATGGCTGTGAATACTTAAGTAAATGGGATTTGTTAGTTTTCTAGTTTTAATAAAGTTGCAAAAATAAAAACAATTAAAACGTCCACATTGTCATAATGGGGTATAGTTTGCAGAATTTTGAGGAAAGAGATTTATTTAATACAATTTCAATACGCATTATCTCAATACACCTCAATACGCCACAGATACACCTTATTACTTGTCATTATGCCACAAATCTGTGATACATTTGACAGGGTGCTTGGGACAACATGTGCCATGGTCGACATGCTGCAAGCAGCCTGGACCCTGGTAATAACTACTACTCACAGTTCTAGTTTTCTTTAAAATCTCCTGCAGTTACAAGAATAGCACTGGCAAGAAGGGAGAAATTAAACAAAGAGTAGAGTTGCAGTGTCAACACCAAGAGCTTCATTTTGGTTTGTGTTATCTAAAATGATAACAGTAACAGGAAACTGCTCCTATGAAAGTTGAAAGAAGCAAGACAATTTACACATTTACAAAGTTATTCTTGGCTAAAACACTCTGACTAACACTCTAATTGGAAATGCACACAGATTTCCTTTGCTTGTTTATCTCACAAGGTCAGTTTTCTGTTTCTTTTGGGGGCTTCAGGAGATTTCTGCTGGAAATCAGCTGAATGGGAGTGCTGGAGTTAACCAGTTGAGCCCCAGAAGAACAGAAACGCTCTGCAAGCTCATTCATCTTTACGAGACATTATAACACATTTTGCCACCAAGCCGTTTTCGCCCACAGCTCAGTTCATCCCGCCAGTTCGTGTTGACATTAGCATTTGTATTCCTGCTCAATTTGCATCTCAAAGTAATGCCTTGCTCTAAGGCTGGTTAATAGTTGATGATCTCATGGGCAAACGTGAGCTGTCGACCTCATAAAATATAACAAAGTTCTGATGTATGAGGAAAGTAAACTGTTGATTTTCAGGATGGTGTCAAGGAGATGTGAAAAATTACTTTCCTCATCTCCAGCAGAGAGTATACTTAATAAAAAAAATAAAAATTTGTGAAATTATTATTTTTTTCTGATATAAAGTGTCTTAATGGGGAGGTAACAGCTGAAAAAAGAAAAGAGAAACTTGCACTTCTTGAAAAAATAAATAAAAAAGCATTGTTTAAAACTTGCATTCCAAAATAATAATGATAATAATAAATAAAGATGTTGCATGATCTGTTAATGTTCAAAGTAAGAGTTGGGTATAACTCCCAGCTACTACCACACAAAGCTTTAGCTCAATATCTGTAAAATTGGCAGTGTTATAAACATTTTTTGTGTTTAAGTTCAATAAAGTGCTTTTATAATAATATATCACAAGATTTTATTTTGCTAGCAGACAAACTAGCGCATGCACAAGGTATTATATACAAGGATAATAGTAATATAATTGATAACAATACCATTATTAATACTATTATATTAATAATAATAATATCTATAATAGTAGTTAATTATAATAGACTGCACCAGGTTCATGACGAAACAAAACTGAAGCTTACACAAAACAGATCTCAGTCTCTAAAGTCCATTAAATCATCGAGTCAGCCTCCATCATGGGCTGATTTTCAACATAAACTAAACAAACATGGACAAAAAGTTGTTGATTTTGAGGAGGAGTATTTATGTGGATCCTTTCTTCCATTAATCATTTTCCAGATCATGATCAGTTTACATGTTGTGTCACACTTCTCTTTATCTTCCTCTGAGCAGCAATAAAACAAAGTCTGCAGCTCTGGATTGTTTATTGATTTATGTGAAGGATTTGGCTCAGCTGGGTGTTTTTATTTATTTATTATTATTTATTTTTTAAAGCAGAACCGAGCATCCTGTGCATCCATCTATTATTTATATCATCCAATCTCTTCCCACCCAAAAATAAATAACTTTATTTATTCTTTCTTGAGCATCTCGTAGCCAGCAGGGTTTAACCCGGGCTAAACTTTCACGAACTTGAGCACAGCGTCACGGAAAATAAAAACACGTCAGGTTTAATAATGCAAGATGGAATGAGATGCAAAGTTTTTTTTAAATCACACACAAGGGTTGAATCTGGACACAATAACAGACACTGAACTAAAAGATGAGGACAAAACAGAGTTTATTGTGAAGTTGAAGTGGACTATAATGCAACCAGGAAGAGGAAAATGTTAATATTACCCTCCAGGGTTATTTATTTACACAAGGAAGGAAATAACACAAACCTCACATACTTTACAGTCAAGTGTGTGTGTGTGTGTGTGTGTGCGTGCGTGCGTGCGTGCGCGCGCGTGCGTGCGTGCGTGTGTGTGTGTGTGTGTGTGTGTGTGTGTGTGCTATGGACTTAGTGTGGACTTAAAGTACATCATAAATCTACCGTATAGATGTTTCTGGTGAGGTTAGCCTGTGCCACGGCCAGCTGACCTAAAATAAATAAATGACCATAACTCAGCCAGTTTTACAGATACTTAGAAGAACTTGGTGTGGTAGTAGATGGGACTGTTTGAGCACTAATGGATCAGATCTGCTTTTAAACTTTAACATCAACTACTGGAGTTAACCGTATCCGTTAGCGAAAACGCTCATGAACCACTAAATTGAGTTTAATGTCTGAAAATAATCACTGAACGTACATCTACAGCGGATTATCATTTAGGGTTAACCCATTTAAGATGGCCACCACAGATAAGTGACTTGAGCTAACACAAAAATGACCTTAGTCAATCAATTCCACTAATATTGAGATATATTTGGTGGTAGTGGCAGATACTTACCCCAACATATTTAGCTGAGGTTGAACATCTTGCAAGATTAATGGGAGATCAAAACTACAACTTGTCTCTTTAGGAGGATGTGTTTAAAGCTGTGGCATAAAAGGCTTCAGGTATTCATGTATTCATATGAGGACCGACAGGCTTTGAATTTTTCATTATTTTCTACACAGCATCTACATGCTTTTTGTTACTTTATTGTATTAAAGTGTATCTACTTAATGCTTTAATATGCTGTTTATTACATGCCGTTATCTCTAATAATATTGACAGACTTGTTTTGTTTTAAGTCTCTGTTCTGCAGGGAAACGGGTTTCCTATAAGCTGAACGTGTTTAAACAAAAAACCTGACCCAGAGATTATAGTTGCTCTCAAAGAACATACTTTCACATTCATCTACAGAAAATGTGGCAGACTAAGACAGAAAATACAGAATCATCCTATTAAATGTGATCAGCCTCGTCCAGCAGTACTGATCAAATCTTGCTCGTCTTTTGTTGAAGGCTTTTGAGAAACGACTCGCTTCAGATCCAAGAAAAGCAGAACTCTGTGTGTGTTTGATTTAAAGAGGATGTGTACCACAAATAAGGCCTGAAAGCCCAGCAGGGATTCATAAACACAATTACTATGGTTTATCTGCGAAGGGGCCGATCAGATATTGAATAAACTGGAGGAGATGAGAGAGAAGCTCTGGGTCAGCAGTTGTCACCATGAAAAAATAAAGTGTAGCAAAATATACAGAAAACTGTAGAAGATACAACTCTGCAGAAATGACAGGAATTAGAAGAATGCAGAGTCAGAAAAGGAGCAAATACCAAATACATCGACAACATGTGATGGCTTAGATTTTGTATTTTTCAATTTTGATTTGAGGAAAAGTGGAATTTATTTCCATCTGAGCTCAATGAAACACCCTTTAAACACCTCGAAACCTTTAGCTCAACATCAGTTTTCAGTGATCGCAGTCTGTAAAATCCTGGATCTGTCCCGACTATAAATCACATCATGTTATATAGTTAAAAGTGATTCTCTGGTGAACCACTTAAAAAAGGTCAAGCCAAAGCTCTGAAACCTGATGCTGCTGGTTAAAACATTACACAAGCTGGATGAAAACCTTGACAAGTTACTTAGAGGAAAAGTATTTTTTCTTAATAACCATTCAGCCAAACACTAAGCTACTGACTGATAAATGTCATCAATAAGTATCATCTAAAAATCCATTGGTCTAGTTAAAAAAAACTTGGGTTCTGGTATATTTGTGGATGTTTCATCAACAAAAGACAATCTTATTATAATTACACAAAATACTTTGATATTAACACATTTAGGATAGCCCGCTGAAGGAGACAATTTTCAGGACTGTCCCTTAAAAAAACACATTTAAATAACCCCGATCATTTGTAAAGATGTGCACACCTTTATCACTTTATTTGTCTCATTCAGAATAATGTTACCTTGAATATTACTGGGAGAAATAGAATGGGAATCCTGTCAATACCCCCACCCCCAAATAAACAAATAAATAAATAAATTGAAGTAACTGTGTGAAGCAAAACTGGGTCATGTGGAGGTTTATAAAAAAAGTTTGCATAACTATTAGATCTTCTTTCTGGTCAGAACTAAATTATTTCTTCAACTGAGCTTGTTCAAAAGACCATGCACAACAGGTAAGATATTAATTGTTTCTTCTCATAACGCCACATTTTAAACGAGCTAAAGTCGCTTTAAAAAGTAAATACATTCAAATATGAACAACCGAAGCAGAACATCCAGAGACATAATCCTTGCAGCCATGCATAAACAAGAATATAAACGTGCAGCTTTGCTCAGATGTTTTCTAACAGCACAAAGCAGAGGCCAGTGAGACTGACGCTAAACCTTATTACTTGGAACATGTCGGGCTAATTTATTTCATCAAAGGTCAACAAGCCAAAAGAATCCAAATCAAAACACATTATCTTTCATATCCAGCTCTTGTAGTGTGATTGCTCAGGGGAGGATGGGAAGCTACAGCCTTTTATTGCACACAATCTTTTTATTTTATTTCTAAAACTCACCCATCTGTCTGAACTCCTGATTGACCAGCTGCAGCCAGGCAACATCCAGGTCGTCCAGGTCGTAGCAGCTGTAGAGCTGGGAGCGAGGAGGTGAAGCTTCTCCCTCCTTCGCCTGCCTGCTGGTGGACAGACCACTGATGGACTCTGGCAGCAGCCTGAAACAACAGCAGAACCATCAATACAATCTGATTCAACTACAGCTGACTTTAAGAAATAACAGAAAACAGGACGTTATCAGCACCAATGAAGCAGCTAACCCTCCATGTTAGTTCTTATAAAGTTGTTTGTCAATGTCTGGTTTTAAGAGATGACAGATAACGAAGCATTTTAATGATTTAAACTGCATTCTTGAACGCAGACTGACACAACACAATCATTTCTAACTGCAAGCTTCTCTCATCATCACACATTTTACACCAATTAACAAGAAATTAGTAAAACCGAACACATGAACAGAAACTACATTTTATTTAAAGATACTGTGTTGATTCAATTGAGCTGAATGACTTCAATACAAAAATCTAGACATTTATTTGATTTTTGTTGTTGCTGTTTTAGGGTGTAACTGGAACCTTGAGTACATAATTTCGTTCCACCTCATGTACCACAAGTGATGCGAATGACAAGAAAGAACCTTGAACCTTGATTTAAAACATGAATGTAACTACATTCAGTTTTATTTAAACAAAACCCTTGATAACTAAATCATTATGGGAACCACTTCGTCTCACCTTTAAATGGGAAAACACTGATTGCCGTATTTTTCACTGTATAAGTCGCACCTTTTTGCATAAATTTGCAAGCCCTGCAGCTTATACACTGAAGCGACTATTCCCCATATTTATAACCCGGTTTCTGGCTGAAGTCTGACGATTTCATTCATTCTGACATGGAAAATATTGAACACTACCATTTCCAGCTGCTAGAGGGCCCTCAAGTAATATGGCAAGCCAAGAGTCTCAGTAATAAGTAAAAGTGGCTATTAATGGGACACTTTGCTTGCCATACAAACCACAATCGTCGCGCTCCAGAACTCCTGGAGCCAACGTCAAATCAGCTTCATTTCGCCGTGCTGCCCCGGTGAAATGCAGCTGATTTGACCATTAAAGTGCATTTATTAAGGAAAATTCAACTGAGACACACCTTTACTATAATGTCGAGCGAACAAACAATTGTTTTTAAGTGTTAATCTTGTTAAATTCTTGTTCAAAGTCCTCCTGTGCACGCTCCCCTGGCCGTCATTTGGCAGCCAATCAATTTTTGCCACAACACCGGCTCATGTTTCCAGGTGGTCAGAGGTGACGCATAATAAATGCGACTTATGCAGCAAAGCGACTTATTTATGTTTTGTTATTTCCACTTTATTAGACATATTTGGACTGATGCGACTTATAACGATATGTACAGTATATGCAGAGAAAATGTATTTAGTGTTTATGAAAAAATTTCAGATAAATGTGTGAAAACCAGAAGAAACTGCATCTTTAGACTCAGACACAGACGTGCAGTGAATAACATGAAGCAACGGTCAGATTGTAAATATTTAGTTTGTAAATCGTGTTGCACATTTCTTGTTTTTTTCTGATCTTCCTATCTGCTTCTCTTTTACTTTTAATTCTTTCTTCTCTCCATTTGACTTCTTTTCCATCAATCCATCCTAATTTTTACACCCATCATTCTTGAATTTATTTTCTTCTTTTTGTTTTCCACCTTTATGCAACTCTTCCCCCTTTCTTTCGCTTTTCTCCCTCTTTATTTCACCATTTTTCTGTTTCTCTTTTTGTTCTCCACGTTTTTTTCATCGCTTCCTTCCTGTATATTTCCCATTTACATTTCCTCCCCTGTTCACTTCTTCCCCTCCTTTACTTCCATTTCTCTTACTTTTCTGTTTTTGCTTCCTGAGTCATTTTGTTGATTTTCCTTCCTTCAACACAGGTGCTTATAAACTGTCCTCCTACAAAGCTGCTTACACACGAGCTGTAAATGTTTTGAGAAACTGCGATACAAATGAAATCATTAAGACCTTCGTCCTGACCTCGTGGTCCAGAGAAACTAACTCAGAGTTTGACCAGTGAAAAAGACGAAGCCTTTAGAAACCATGAAAACCAACGAGGTGACAGGGAGCGGGAACAGGAAGCTCCTCCAGCCGCTGTCTAGTCTCTGGAGCCTCGGGGTCCAAATGTCTCGGCCAACAACAGCAGGAAATGAGGTCAGAAATATTGTTCGACCCCCTGGGACCCAATAAAAAATAAAACATGCTCACAGAGGCACCCAAACAGGCCCTCTGAACACATCTGGACAGATAAAAAAAACGAATAAAGACATTTAGAGAATACATAAAGCGAAGCAAACAGTGAAACACCACACCCAGAGCGTCTCCAGTCATCTCTGTATTTTACATCGCTACACAACCACACCCCGATCGCTCACATGTCGTGACCTTTTGACTGAAAAGGTAAAGTGTGTCAGTGATCACAACCACAAACAGCTTCCAGCTCTCCCCTTCAGCTCCCGTCCTCCAACAGCTCATTATCGTCCCTCTCACCATCATCGCTGCCGTCAGCCTCACATCAGGCGGCAGAGATCATCTCCACTCTCATCATAATCATCATCAGGAAAACAGTTCCCACAGTTCGTCTTCACTAGAATGACTCTTCATGTGGCGTCAGGATAAAAACAGGAAATATTTCACGGCCTGGCATCCCTTGAAGGAATGCCTTTTACCCGCCGCCTTTCATTCCAGAGGTTTGGATCAACTTATGCTGAGAAATGAGTTGATGCCGTTTTGGTCAAACCTTGAAAACAACAGTGGGCACAATATTGTGCAGTCTCACCAGATGTCACTCTCAGAATATGTGTTGAGAATGACTCAGCTGCAACTACATCAAATGTTAGCACAATATCTGCAAAACTGACTGAATTATAGACATGTTTTTGTGTTTTCTAAAGTCATTTGGAGGTGGTGGCCATCCTAAAGTTAGTTGGTTGTAGGGATGCATCAAATGATTCTTTTCTGAAAGTTACATAAAGATGGGTCCAGTTGTTTATGAGTTGTGTTGCTAACAGACATAGCTAGTTAATAGAAACATCTTAAAGATTATGCACAATCTGGTAGAGCCCAGAATACAAACTGGGCGTTTGTCTCAGCTACGAATACAACAAATAATAGCATAATATCTGTAGCAATAACAGAACTGTAGCCGTGTTTTTAATTTTTTTATATCAGTTGGCCATGGCGGATACTTTGAATTACCCAGTAGGTTGATTCCAAAGTTGTGGATGTACATCTGATGGTTACTGTCTCAGAGTTCCTGTAAAATCCATGCAGCTATTCAGGAGATAATTTACCCAAACCTGTGCTCAAACACAAACTAACATTTTGACGGCCATCTTGAAAAGTGCACAATGACATAAATAACAAGAAACATAAAAACAAATGTAAACACTTTTCTTTCACTGTTGTGGAAAAGAAGTAGAAAAATGTGCATGCCCAAATATACCCAGCACTTTTATGCCCCCAGCTACACCAGGATTCTTACATTTCCAGCTCGAATCGATGATGCCATCCCTGTAATTGTCCATCAGTGATCAACAGCATCTCGCCTGCAGATACAGCATCTGTTAATCTAATAAAAAGCGCAGCTCAGATCCATTTTTGTCTGCAAATGGCCAATTTTGACCAGAACTACAGAATCTGTGTGCTAATATGTAACGATTAATGAATGACAAACTCTGGTGTATTTATGTGAAGACAAAGAGGCAGAAAATTGATGCCTATTCTGGTGTGATAGGGGAGGATATCTGATACCAGAGAAACTGGTCTGGCCAGTCAAATGGTACAAGACAAGGACAGAAATGAGACTTATTGTACGACGAGGGAGAATGTTTTTGGTTTTGTTGCAGGGAACTCTGAGCTGACGGATTCTGTTGTGCAACGTCAAAAGCAAAACGTGTTTCATTACACGGTTGTGTTGTGGTGCTACATTATTAACGGTAAAGTGCTGGCGTCATTCTGTAGGTTTTCTCTTTCAAAACAAAAACAGTGAAAACAGACACCCCTCCATGTTGTCGCAGATTCTTGGAAGCGACTCACGAAGGCGAAACGGAAACTCAGAAAAAGCTGTTGACCCAATTTATTGTTTCATTATTTAGTTTGTTTTTGATTTGGTATTCAATGTCAAACAGTTAAAACTCTAAAATATTGCATTCTGCCCTTTTGAAAATAAATGCACAATCTCATACCATATTAGTAGTAGCTGTAAATGTGACACAGTTACAGCCAGTTTTGTGTTTGATCAGGTTGACTAACTGTGGTGACCATCTTAAATCTGGTCAACTCCAGAAATTATTCAGTTTATGTGCATCCACACCTATTAAGATTCAATTCAAATGCCTTCAGTGGTTCATGAGCTGTGAGCTCGAATAGTTTAGGTTTTGCTTTAAACCAAAAGTAAAACGGCGAAAAACATTCAAAAAGTGGACTAAAATGAAAATACCAGAAATGTAAAAAAAATAGAGCAACAGTTGGATATCTGCATCTGTTTGCAAACCTCAACCCTTTTAAGTCTTTAAAATAAAAGATAAGAACATCTAAAATAAAATGTAAAAAAATAAGTGTTTTCAAATAATTTTACTGGAAACTGGTTTCAGTCAGTTCCTTACTGTCAGACAAATTCTATGAAAAACAAATTCTAACATGAAACATTAAACAACTTCCTGGTAAGAATGTCAAGTCACCATATCCAACAGGAAGTGAGTCAATGGTTTCAGAGCACCGTGTGTTTCTCGGGCGATCAGTATCGGGTTTCCTGCAGTCACATGCACCACACCCACAGACGCTCACCGTGTTACATAACAAAGGTAAACATCGTCCACTTTCATTAGAACACGGGCGGAGAGAAAACCAGGTGTCCTCTGTCAGAACCAGAGACGATACAAGCTGTAAATGAGACTTGTCAAAGGTATCACTGAATCTATAACTAACTCAGAGTCAAACTAATTCTACTCAAAAATCATTTATGTTAGATTACCTTCAGGCCTGGGCCTCACTTGCAAAAGAGAACGATGATCTCATTACGATTTGCCACTTAAATAAAGGTTTATAATAATTCAAGATGGCTGCCACAGTTATCTGACCTTAGCAAACATGAAAATG